CATTTTCAATTATCAGAGAGTGACGAGCTGCCAAGATGGCGACGGCCCGCTCCACCCACTTTAGGCTTCAAAAATGCTCTTCAGAAACCTACGGCTGACATCATGGACACTACGTCCATGTTTTTTTACAGTCATTGGGCCCTATTTTAACAATCTAAACGCATGGTCTAAAACACACGGCGTAATTGCACTTAGGGCATGTTTGAATCCACTTTTGCTAGTTTAAGGATGGGAAAAATGGTTCGCCCGGAGCATGGTTGGTGAGCGTGGTTTGAGCAACCAGCACCACCCACCTCCCGCCTCTTTGCCCATTTTCGATTATCCAAGAGTGACGCGCTGTCAAGATGGCGACGGCCCACTCCGCCCACTTTAGGCTTCAAAAATGCTCTTCAGAAACCTACGGCTGACATCATGGACACTACGTCCATGGTTTTTTACAGTCATTGGGCCCTATTTTAACAATCTAAACGCATGATCTAAAACACACGGCGTAATTGCACTTAGGGCATGTTTGAATCCACTTTTGCTAGTTTAAGGATGGGAAAAATGGTTCGCCCGGCGCATGGTCTAAAAGGGTAGTCCCTATTCTCTTAATGAGTAATGGGTGTGTTTTGGGCGTAACGTGCCATAAACCAACCAGAGTCTCATCTCCCATCCCCTTTAAAAGCTAGTTGCGCTCGAGCCATGGCGGGTTCGCTATTTACATGGCGGAATTAAATTTTTAATTTTTAAAAATGTTTGTGTGCTGCTGTGCATCCCTGTGTGTGTAATAAGCAAAGTGTACACGTGTTGTGCACCCGTCTATAGGTGCAAACTCGACGGTGGTGACAGCAGCGGCAATCCACCTGTCACTCAAGTGGCCATGCCCTTAATTATGCAGAATTTTAAGGCTTAATATAATTTAAACGGATGAGTTATAAAAAAATTCACCCCCCTCACAGTTGTCATGAAGGGCAAAATTAGCTATACAGACCAAAACCACTTTTTGTAAACACATTTTTTCTGCTGTAAAGTTGGGCATTTTAACATGGGGGGTCTGTGGGATTGACTCCCTTTTGGAGCCAGTCTCTCTCTTAATGAGTAATGGGTGTGTTTTGGGCGTAACGTGCCATAAACCAATCAGAGTCTCATCTCCCATCCCCTTTAAAAGCTAGTTGCGCTCGAGCCATGGCGGGTTCGCTATTTACATGGCGGAATTAAATTTTTAATTTTTAAAAATGTTTGTGTGCTGCTGTGCATCCCTGTGTGTGTAATAAGCAAAGTGTACACGTGTTGTGCACCCGTCTATAGGTGCAAATTACTAACACGCTCTTTAAATAACAAAGAAAAAATATTGCGCCAGACTTTAGACCAGGTTTTTGTTGGTCAATGGCAACTCTATTTCAGTTGCCTCAAAATACCAACACGCCAGCAATGCGCCTGAATACTCGTTTTAAGACCAGCACACCCATAGGCACACAAATGGGCGCAAATGCATTTGCTATTTAAACAACGTGGC